CCCGTTCCTGGCTCACCCAGACACATAGAGATACCATCCCCATAAGCTTGGAGACACAAGGACGGCTGTAGAGGGGTCTGGCTAGCCAGCCGTCCTTCTAGCCATCCACTGTACATTTCTGCATCTATCCAGCTCTCTCCTCTTCAGTCCATCTCTCTATTTCCATCCACCCATGCCTAGCCTCTGTCAGCCCACATACACTTAGTAACTCTCTCTCTCTCATCTCTGGCTTTTCTAATGTTCCCAGCACTGCAGTCGCTGGGTTCTCAGGAGTCCCTTCCCAATGAGACAGGCTTTGGGCATCCCCAGCCGGCTGGGACATATGTAGTAGGAGGCTCCGGCTCACCTCCAGGCCCCTCACTCGCATACCAAGCAGGTTTGGCTGCCCAGGTGGGGGACCCCATGACCATGCAAAACTGACTCGGAGTGTCAGGCCAATGACCACATTTGCCCCATTCTCCTCCCAGTAAGACCCCTGGGGGCCCAGAAGCAGGTGGTCTGACACCTGCATCCTCTGTTTCCAGAGCCAAAGGTGGGTGTGCTGCCCACACGGCAGGTGGACAGAGTTAGCTGGTTTCCTTACCCCCCTCCTCCTAAACCCCTTAGACATTCAGCCCCTCGACCTGGGGTGCCTCATCTTTGGGCTCCGTAAGCACAGAGTGGGCTTCAGTGAAGGGAAGCAGGGATTGCAGCTAAGACTCTGCCCTGGTACTGGAGCATCTGAACAGCTCGGAGCTGTTCAGGCAGGAGCGGTGTGGGGAGAGCAGAGCCGGAGGTGAATGGAGGTGAGTCTGGGGAGAAGAGGGTTTGAAATAGGCAGAGCAAGGGAGTGGGGAAGGGAACAGCGCAATGAATGCAGACAGACTGACCAGGGGAGTTAGGATGATTAGGATAGATGGATGTTTACTGCCACATCTCCAAAATCAGGGTTGTTACCAGCATAGGCTTATTGATAGCACAGATGCTGTGGCCCCAATCTGAACTGGCTGGACAGAGCCTTGGTGGGAGGCTGGTGGGTGCATGGAACTCCAGTAGTGGATCTCACTGGAGTATCAGGAGCAGTTCTCTTTTTAACCAACCCTCTGCCCCACCTTACTTTCCTCCTAAAGTTTTCTTTCTCCCCCAGTCTCTCTCTGGAGCAGATCCCTAGTGGGTACCAACAAGTTATATTACAGTTGAATCTAGAAGCTCCCACAGAGGTGGGGTCCCCGTCGTGCCAGGCACTGCCCGGACACACAGTGAGAGGCAGCTCCTGCCCCAGCTGTGATCCGCGCCCTGTTCTTTTGGGCACTGCACAGACTCACAGTAAATGAGGGACACACAATCTATGACCCAATCTAAGTACGCAAGACCGATAAATGGAGGGTGAAAAGGAAGATTATTGTTGTCACTTTAGAGATGGGACCCCAGACTCAGAGAGACAAAGTCACTATCCCAAAATCACCCAGTGACTCTGTGTCAGTGTTGGGTGCTGAAGCCAGCTCTCCGGAGTTCTCAGCCAGGACTCATCCCCCGGACCATTCTTGGGGATAAGATCCTCCCCTCCCCTCCCACTCACCTTAATCTCTTTTAGACTCTTCCTGTGTCATCATTCCATTCGTACTCCCATCACCCCATGCCATCATTACATTGTGTAGGATTGCAGGTAAATTGGACTGAAAGCAATTGCCAGATTCATTTTTTTATATTGTTTTTCCATCAATCCCACGGCCCCTCCCCAGCTCATCCCAGCTTTTTGGAAACAATAGCCAATGACCCAGCGTTAGCCAATGACCAACGCCTCTCAACTGTGCTGCTGAGGAGTCTGTTTCCTTTCAACTTATCTCCACTCCTTGTCTTCATCTTTCTGGCCTGAAGCCATTTTTGAAAGAATGGCCAAACAGCATTGCTCTCTGACAACCATCACCAACTGTATCTTCCTCCCTGTCTTCTTTCTCACTCAGATTTCTCTTACCCCCCACCCCCTTCTTCCTTCCAAGTCTCACATGTATGGATGTAACTACTTATTCGGAGGTATAAAAGCCTCAGTAGGGAGGCTTTTATACCATGCCCCTGTCAGGAAGTCCAATGTATTTATAACATTCTTAGCCCTTTTGGGTGACACAGATAGAGTTAGAGGAGGGAAGGAGAGAGGTGGGAGATCAGGAATGAAGATGAAAGTGAGGCTGGGGGGAAAGTTGAAAATGTACAACCTGGGGGGAGAAGAAACTGAATAAGGATGTGATGAATGCTAGATACATACAGTGTTTGGTATCATATTGACCACTGTCTTAGAAATGCAGACAGACAAGGTGGGTGAGCTGATATCTTTTATTGGAGCAACTTCTGTTGGTGAGAGAGACAAGGTTTTGTGCTTACACAGAGCAGGGAAAGGTACTCCGAGTGTCACAGCTAAGTACAAAGAGGAACAGAATCCTAAATAGTTAACACACCTTTCAAGGTAAAGTTGCCAGTAAACTTGTCTCCCGTCATGGAGGGGAAGGTGGGGGGGAGAACCTGGAGGAGGAGGCTCAGTGGGTCACAGATTGTTATAATAAGCCATATATCCAGCCTCTCTGTTCAATCCATGATTTTAGTGTCTAGCAATGTTATGAATTTACAACACATACTTGATGGGGTCCACATCCTGAACCCCTTCTTCTGGCATTCAAACAACCCCCAAGCTCACCATGCTCAGCATCATAAGCAAGCTCCACACAGAGCAGGACACACCAACTCAAAGTGGTACCAGACCCTGCCAGAACAACAGACACAAAACCTGCAGCTATATTTCTATTTCTAGGATGATCAACACCATCCACAACACGGCTTTCCAGATCCATTACTCTAAAACATACCAATCACAATATGTGATGTATCTCCTCCAGTGCCCCAACAACAAATATGTGGGTGAAACCAGGCAATCACTATGCTCTTGAATGAACTCACACAGGAAAATGATAAAGACAAAAACACCCTATCATTGGTGGGTGAAAACTTGACACAAAGTGATCACTGTATATATGACCTATCAATCCTCATCCTCAAAGAAAACCTGCACAAAACCTTCAAAAGACCAGCCTGGGAGCTTAAATTCATAACTTTGCTGGACACTAAAAATCATGGACTGAACAGAGACAAAATCTATATCCCACTAACCTCACCCCCATCAGCTTATTTCCCGCCCCCCTCCTTTACCCTCTATGACTGGAAGCATGTTACAGACCACTTCACCATGAATTGTCCATTGAAATGTTTTAAGTACTTGTGCTGTAAAATCTGCTCCACCTTGCATTTAGCTGTGACACTTTGAGTACATTTCCCAGACCTGCAGAAGAGCTCAGTCTGAACTCAAAAGCTTCTCTCTCTCTCTCTCTCTCACCAATGGAAGCTTGTCTGTTACCCTAGATTTGATGGATGTGTGTACTCCAGAATGCAATCAAGGTAATTGCAACCATATTATGTGCATTGAGACACTGTGAATTAATAAAATAGAACGCCACATAGTTAAGAGTTAATTGCAAAACAGGCTTTTAGAGGCAAGGTGAAAACTAGCTGGGAGTTTCTGCTAATCAGAATGGGAGGAGGGGAACGAAAGGTCAGCAAGGGAGATTGAAAACCTTGGTGGATGGAAGACCTGGAGTCTGGGCACTTCTGATAGAAGTTTATTAAAAGCTAGGAAAAGTGATGATTTTGTAGAGGTTATTATGACCTATGTGTTTTGTAGAAGTTAGTTATAAAAGATTAGTGAATACAGTGGATTCTGGAGCAGTCCTCTGAAGCCGTTTTGAGAGAGGTTTTTCTTGACATTTTTTCTCCCTGGTAGGTGAGCAACTGGCCACTGACAACTTGCTGCTAATTACTCAATACCATTCCAGTTTTTAGGTAAATATCTGGGATGCTCTAAATCTATTGCTTATGTCTGTGTGCACTTAAATCTAATAAACTGCAGTTTTAGATAGAGCCCGCTTACTTGTATTAATATTTCTTCAGGCTGAATTGCTGTATTCCCATTGATTTATTCCTGACACCACCTGGAGTGAAACAGTTAAGTTGCCCCTGCTGTGGGTTCTGAAAACTGTTGGTAACAGGTCCAATAAAAGATATTACCTCATCCGCTTCATCTCTCCAATATCCTGGGACCAATCCAGCTACAACAACACTGCAGACAGACAGATGAGAGATTTCCCTGACCTTTGCATAAATGTATGCAGTGCTGTAGCCGGCTCAGCACTGGAATTATTAGAAATTCCAGGCTTTCCCTAATCCATTCACTTAACACTTACCTGTCTTCTAGGATTCAAGGCTATCATTCCAAAAATGTCCACTGCCAATCCCAGCGCTAGCACCTATTATCACAAATGTCCTTGCTGTGGGATATTTTCCACCCGTATTCTTTCTGGCCCCTACAGGTGATGTATGGCAGAGGGGCATGGGAAGATGGAAACCAAAGCTCCTTGGGGGAATTCATCCTGCTAGGGGTGTCTGACAGGCCACAGTTGGAGCTGCTGCTCTTTGTGCTCATCTTAATCTCCTACAGCATGACCTTGCTTGGAAACACCACCATCATCATGGTCTCATGGCTAGACCCCCATCTCCACACGCCCATGTATTTCTTCCTCAGCAACCTCTCTTTCCTGGATCTCTGCTACACCACCAGCGTTGGCCCCCAGATGCTGCTGAATTTCCATAGCAGCCACAAATCCATCTCTTGGGCTGGCTGCGTGGCCCAGCTCTACATCTCCCTCTCGCTGGGCTGCACTGAGTGCCTCCTGCTTGCCATCATGGCCTACGACCGCTACGCTGCCATCTGCCAGCCGCTGCGCTACACACACATCATGAGCCGCCGCCTCTGCCTACAGCTGGCAGCCACCGCCTGGTTGTGCAGCTTTGGCAACTCCATGCTGCAGACCATCCTGACCCTGAGGCTGCCCCGGTGTGGGCGGAACCAAATCAAGCACCTCTTCTGCGAGGTACCAGCCCTGCTCAAGCTGGCCTGTGTCGACATCTCTGCCAATGAGGCCGAGCTCCTCGCCAGTGCAGTGATTTTCCTGCTGGTTCCACTGGGCCTCATCCTGGTCTCCTACGGCTACATTGGCGCAGCCGTGCTGAAGATTCGCTCGTCGAAAGGCAGGCTCAAGGCTTTCAACACCTGCGCCTCCCACCTAGCCGTGGTGTCGCTCTTTTATGGCACGGGCATTTCCATGTATCTACAGCCTCCGTCCAGCTACTCCCAGCACCGGGGCACGATGGTATCCCTCTTCTACACAATGGTGACCCCTATGCTCAACCCTCTCATCTACACACTGAGGAACAAGGAGGTGCACAGGGCCCTGCAGAGGGCACTGAGGAGAAACGTGACCACCTAGGGGGTCTGATGTGGGAGAGCAATTGGCAGAAAACCATCTCTACCTCTCATGGCTACTGTAACGTCTTCTGTGCCCATGTGGAGCCTTCTGCTCTCTCCACCCACACAAACCCTCTGGCCTCTCCCACTCTACAGAACAAACCTGCACTAATCTGCCCCACAACCTGCCTTCCCTTTCCCACCCCACACAACCCATCTCTCACCCACACAACACCCCTGCCCTCTGCTTTCCAATTCAACCAGGGGAATAATCACTTCCCTTGATCTGCTGGCAATGCTCCTACTGTTACAGCCCAATATGCTGTTGGCCTTCTTGGCAACAAGGAAACACTGCTAACTCATATCCAGCTTCTCATCCACTGTAATCCCCAGGTCCTTGCTATTGTGGTAGCAAAGAGGCTGCAACTGAGATCAGGGCTGAGCCAAGCATGGCACAGACATTGAGCAAGTTACAGTCCCTTCTCCAACTGAGATCAGGGCCCCATTGTGCTGGGCGCTGCATAGACACAAAGCAAGGACAGCTGAGATCCGGGCCATCTTCTATGGGACCAGAAGATATCTGAGTTCAGTAGCTTCTCAATGAAACTAGCACACATCTGGATAGAAGAATGGATTAAATCAGTGAAGGCAGCTCTATGGGTGTTGAGAGTACCTGAAGAAGACCATGCAGATTTTGTGGAAGAGCATCTCAAATTCCAAGCCAGATCCACAATGAAGTTCATGGCATCACCTAACAAGCCAGACGTAGAGAAGACATTTCAGCTGTATGCAGACAAAGTGAAACCAGACTCAAAGAATTCTATGAGCTGACACCGAATCCAGGTGGGACTATTCGGGTTTACTCATCTGAGCTCCAGGAGAGAATGAGCCAGGTGAAGCACTGGGACCCACAACAAGTTCGGGACATGAATATGGTCCTGAAAGTATAGTTAGTGCTGGTGCTCCGGGATGATTCCCTCCACTGTGAAATGAAGAAGAGTTTTTTTTAAAGAAGAGTCCAGTAAGAATTTCCATGAACTCGTGCAAGCTGCCATTACAAGGACTGAATTAGAGCAAGTTCCTGTGGAAGAGATGGCCAAGCCCAACCTCCCCTACACAAAGTGGAGGCCTAGGTAATGCAGCTAATGGGGAAAGGCTTTTCCCCAAACACAGTTAACACTGGAAAGTTTAAATGAAACTGGCCAGAAACTGGCCAGCGAACAGGGAGTGATACTGAAAACAATGACTGAGGGAATAAAAGGTAAAATCTCCCTTAGTATGCCAAAGGATCTCAAAGATCCCCACTGAAGGATATACAGGGAAGGTACATTTGCTACACTTGTGAAGAGCCAGGACTGAGAATGTCCACTGAAAGAGTCCTGAGCCCCAGGTACTCCAAACCAAAGGGGCACCAGGAATGAGTGGCCCATCTACAGTAGAAGGCCAAGCAGTGGCAGAAGGATTCCTAGGCCTGTCCTTGATGGAAAATCAGTCTGCATACAGTGCTGATAGGAGCTTGGACAGTGCCAGCATATCTATCGACTTGTGTGAGTGAGCATTTAGAGATTAACTGCTGAAGTACTTATAGCCGAGGTGAAGTTCAGCTGTTTATTTGATACTGGCTGTACAAGGGTTAACTGGGGCTCGACCCTCTCTGGGGCAGTGGTGAGCCACACCGGCTCACTACACACAGTTGATGTTGGGGAATTAGTCTGGCCACTGGGTCTCCCTCGGCAGCCCTTGCTGTAACAGGAACAAATACTGTAAGCCCAGGCCCTGGGTCAGGGTGGAGCAACACACTGTGTCAGGTGCTCAGGCCCTCAGGCCGGAGCTGAGCACCGGTACTATAAACAGTAGCAATAAGCCCAGGCCCTATGTCAGGGCGGGGCAGTGCAGAGTCAGAAGCTCCGGCCCTCAGGCAGAGCTGAGCAACAACAGTAGGCCCCAAGCCTCCAACAGCCTTGGAGAGGGGGACACAGGCCCTCCCACTCTACTGCCACAAATTGGGTGGCAGGGGGGATGTAGGCCCTCCCACTCCACTGCGTCCCAGCCCGGGGCCCTAACAGCAGAAGAAGACTCACTGCATAGTCAGTGGGGATCCTGGCTGCAACACACTGACATGGGCTCTGGCAGTGCTGCAGCCAGACTAGGGTTGGCTGCCCCCGGGCTACTTCCAGACTCCCCCTCGGGTAGTACCTGGGCCCAGGTGTTGTCCTCTGGGCGGTCCAGCACCATAGGTTCTTCTGAGTAGCGAGCGCAGGGTAAGCGTGGAGGGTTGGGAATGGAATATAGGGTCTTTCCCTTCTATGGGGGTGCTGACTCTAATCCAGCTCCAGTAGGATAATCATGTTCTGTAAATCATAACCTTTCCAAAGATATCTCACATGCCTTATCCTGCACAAAATACATCATAGTTATGCCATACTCATATCATAATAATATTACTATGAAGAATATGGGGAGTAATGTGACGCTGAGCTCCCACTATTTTTTCCCATGGATGTTCCAACCCCTGAGCACCCATGGAATCAGAGCTTATGAGATAGATTTCAGAGTGAGGAAGTGGGTGAGGTAATATCTTTTATTGAACCAACTTCTGTTGGTGAGAGACACAAGCTGTTGAGCTACATGGAGAAGTTGGTCCATAGATAGCATCTGGGGGTTCATAGTATCATAGAATATTAGAGTTGGAAGAGACCTCAGGAGGTCATCTAGTCCAATCCCCTGCTCAAAGCAGGACCAACACCAACTAAATCATCCCAGCCAGGGCTTTGTTAAGCCAGGCCTTAAAAACTTCTAAGGATGGAGATTCCACCACCTCCCTAGGTAACCTATTCCAGTGCTTCACCACCCTCCTAGTGAAATAGTGTTTCCTAATATCCAACCTAGACCTCACCCACTACAACTTGAGACCATTGCTTCTTGTTCTGTCATCTGCCACCACTGAGAGCAGCCGAGCTCCATCCTCTTTTCAACCCCCCTTCAGGTAGTTGAAGGCTGCTATCAAATCCCCCCTCATGCTTCTTTTCTGCAGACTAAATAACCCCAGTTTCCTCAGCCTCTCTTCGTAAATCATGTGCCCCAGCCCCCTATCATTTTTGTTGCCCTCCGCTGGACTTTCTCAATTTGTCCAGATCCCTTCTGGAGTGGGGGTTCAAAAACTGAACGCAATACTCCAGGTGTGGCCTCACCAGTGCTGAATAGAGGGGAATAATCACTTCCCTTGATCTGCTGGCAATGCTCCTACTGTTACAGCCCAATATGCTGTTGGCCTTCTTGGCAACAAGGAAACACTGCTAACTCATATCCAGCTTCTCATCCACTGTAATCCCCAGGTCCTTTTCTGCAGAACTGCTGCTTAGCCAGCCGGTCCCCAGCCTGCAGCGGTTCATGGGATTCTTCCTTCCTAAGTGCAGGACTCTATACTTGTCCTTGTTGAACCTTATCAGATTTCTTTTGGCCCAATCCTCCAATTTATCTAGGTCACTCTGCACCCTATCCCTACCCTCCAGTGTATCTACCTCTCCCCCCAGCTTAGTGTCATCTCCAAACTTGCTGAGGGTGCAATTCATCCCATCATCCAGATCATTGATAAAGATGTTGAACAACTGGGGCACTCCGCTTGATACCAGTTGCCAACTAGACATCGAGCTGTTGATCACTACCCGTTGAGCCTGACAATCTAGCCAGCTTTCTATCCATCTTATAGTCCATTCCTCCAATCCATACTTCTTTAACTTGCTGGCAAGAATACTGTGGGAGACAGTATCAAAAACTTTGCTTAAGTCAAGATATATCACATCCACCACTTTCTCCATATCCACAGAGCCAGTTATCTCATCACCATTGCCCTTGGTGAATCCATGTTGACTGTTCCTGATCACCTTCCTCTCCTCCAAGTGCTTCAAAATGGATTCCTTGAGGACCTGCTCCATGATTTTGCCAGGGACGGAAGTGAGGCTGACCGGTCTGTAGTTCCCCGGATTCTCTTTCTTCCCTTTTTAAAATATGGGCACTATATTTGGCTTTTTCCAATCGTCCAAGACCTCCCACGATTGCCACGAATTTTAAAAGATAACGGTCAATGGCTCTGCAATCACATCAGCCAACTCCCTCAGCACCCTTGGATGCATTAGATCTGGTCCCATGGACTTGTTAATGTCCAGCTTTTCTAAATAGTCCTTAACCTGTTCTTTGACCACTGAGGGCTGCTCATCTCCTTCCCATACTGTGTTGCCCAGTGCAGCAGTCTGGGATCTGACCTTGTCTGTGAAGACCGAGGCAAAAAAAGGATTGAGAACTTCAGCTTCTTCCACATCATCTGTCACTATGTTGCCTCTCCCATTCAGTAAGTGTCCCACACTTTCCCTGACCTCCTTCTTGTTTCTAACATACCTGTAGAAACCCTTTTTGTTACCCTTCATATCCCTTGCTAGCTGCAACTCCAATTGTACCTTGGCCTTCCTGACTACATTCCTGTATGCTTGAGCAATATTTTTTATACTCCTCTCTAGTCATCTATCCAAATTTCCACTTCTTGTAAGCTTCGTTTTTGAGTTTAAGCTCACTGAAGATTTCACTGTTAAGCCAAGCTAGTCGCCTGCCATATTTGCTGTTCTTTCTCCACATCAGGATGGTTTGTGCCTGTGCCCTCAATAAGGCTTCTTTAAAATACGGCCAGTTCTCCTGGACTCCTTTCTCCCTCATATTAGCCTATAGCTACTATAGTTTTGTTACCATTTTCAACAATATACTTATGCGAGAAAGCATTTTCCTCCATATGCATATCTGAAAACCAAATACAGAAGCAGACTTGGGTTTGCAAAATGTATCAGGGGGTTCTCAGAAAAAATTCTGTTAACAGTGGACAGAGGTATCCCTAGGGACCCTGGGTGCACGGGCTGGCAGCCCAAGCCCCGTGGCCATAACTTCCTGTCAGAACATAAACTTCAGTTGGATCAGTGCACTAAAACCAATATAATTGCACACCAAAAGGACTTTGCAAAACATTCAGGCAATACT